CGTAAATCGATTATCAGGTTGTCTGCATTTTGAGATTGTAAAATATCAGCTGCTCGACACAATATGAATGCTTTTTGATCTCGTTCGCTGCACTCACTCGACAAAAAGCTTCATATTGTTTCTCGCAGCTGCTATTTTACAATATCAATATGCAGACAACCTGATAATCGGTACATACTGTGCTATTGCGCAATACTGTGCTGTTGCACAATACTTAGTTAATCTGTTATATATAATAATTTACACATCCTATTTGGTGTGTATCTCCTGTCATATCAGTATTTGTTGCTTTTAGATATAAATAAGAAATAATCAATGTGAAAATGGAAAATTTGGGAGAAAAAAAACCCCAAAAAATTATGAAAAAATTTGTCCCCCCTCCCAAAAAAAACTTTTGAAAAATTTTAAATTTTGAAAAATCTTGAAGAAAAAAGTATGACCCACCCCCTCCCCACAAAAATTTGTTTTTCCAAAAAATTTGAAGAAAAATATATATTTCAGAGAGTTCCATAAACAAGTTATTGTCGGGAAACTAGAAAATGCTTGTTTTTGGCCCCTTTTTTGCCCCTAATTTCTAAACGTTTGGGCAATTACCCCCAGACTCAATTCCAGGCTTCCCTTTGTGGTATGGAACCTTGTAGTACAATTTCAGAGAGATCCATACACTTGAACACAAGTTATAATTGTCCGGAAACTAGAAAAATGCTTGTGTTTTTGGACCCTTTTTTGCTCCTTATTCCTGAACGTTTATGGCAATTACCCCCAAACTCAATCCCAGCCTTCCCTTTGTGATATGGAACATTGTGGTACAATTTCAGAGAGATCGATACACTTACACACAAGTTATTGTCCGGAAACTACAAAAATGCTTGTTTTGGCCCCTTTTCGGCCCCTAATTCCTAAATTATTGGTACCATAACCCCCAACATCTATCCCAACCTTCCGTTTTGTGGTGTTGAACCTTCTGAAAAAATTTCATAGAGATCCATTCACTTAAACTAAAGTGATTGTCCGGAAACCAAATTGTCTTCGGACGACGACGACGACGACGACGACGACGTGATAACATTATACGAACGCAAATTTTTTGCGGTCGTATAAAAACTGCATTTTACCTCTATGTTCAATTTTTAGCCATGGTGGCCATCTTGGTAGGTGGTCTCGGTCTTAAGATACATTTTTTAAACTAGATACCATAAGGATGATTTAGGCCAGGTATGGTTTAACTTGGCCCAGCAAATTAAGGAGAAGATTTTGGAAAAGATTAGAATGGTTTACGAAAAATTGTCTTTATAGGGCAATAACTCCTGAAGGGGTAAATTGACAATTTTGATCATTTGACTTATTTGTAGAGCTTACTTTGCTGAACATTTTTGCTCTTTACAGTTTATCTCTATCTATTATAATATTCAAGATAATAACCAAAAACCGGGTTGTCTGATGCGTCTGAAAATTTCAGGGCAGATGATGAACATGTTTACCCCATGTCAGTTTTGCTTTAAATGCTTTAGTTTCAGAGATATAAACCAAACTGCATTTTGCCCCTATGTTATATTTTTTAGCCATGGCGGCCTTCTTGGTTGATGGGCGGGGTCATCGGATACATTTTTTAAACTAAGCACCCTAAGGATGATTTAAGCCAAGTTTGGTTTAATTTGGCCCAGTAGTTCCAGAGGAGAAGATTTTTGTAAAAGTGAACGGACGACGACGACGGACGCCAAGTGATGAGAAAAGCTCAATTGACCCTTTTGGGTCAGGTGAGCTAAAAATGAATTATTTCCAAAGAATTTAAAGACAAATTTAGAGCATACGGTTGAAAAGAAGATATTCCAAATCCTTTTACATGTGTTTATCTTTTGAAACAAAAAAAAGTTAGGTATGTCTGTCCAAAGGATAGAAATGTCATAGAAACCGAAATTTTGAGTAAATGTCTAAAATTTCGACCCCATTTATCTCAAAATATATCATGAAGGTATATTTTTACTACATATTTGAATTAACTATGTAGTTAAAATATACCTTCATGTGCTACATTTTGAGATAAATGGGGTCAAAATTTTAGACATTTACTCAAAATTTCGGTTTTTAGGACATTTCTATCCTTAAAACGTGTAAAACTCATCTTGTTGATCCATCATCTCTCTAAGTGCTCTTACTGTGCGTCTATCGTGTAATTTTTCTTTGACTCTGGCCACTGATTTACATTATAATTTTGTATGTTCTTCTTTCTAAACATCTAGTATCATTTTCCCTTAATTTTGTCGAGAAATTTCGATTTAATATAACTATATGTACCATTAAAGACTGTAATAAAAAGTACAAACTTACACGCCGAAAACGCCTACACTCACATCCGATTGTTCTTGCACCCATCCAGAAACGAGATGTGTTTTCCAATATTACTTGCATGCATATGTTTTTCATATTGCCGGGATTTTATTTTATACAGATTCACATTTGAAATAAACTTGGTGTTAGGTACACAAGAACAAATATCTTAATTTGTGGATTTCAAAGTTACAAAATTAACAGTATAAATGTTTATGATTTAGAATCTTTTTATGATTACCAATGAGACAACTAACCAACAGAGACCAAATGACGTAGATGCAAGCAACTTAGGTCACCGTGTGGCCTTCACCAATGAGCAAAACCCCTACCTTACAGCAATTATAAAAAGCATGAACGTCACAAAATGTCAAACAATTAAAACGAGAAAAACGATAAACGAAAAACAAATATGATTTACACCAACAACCACTGAATTACAGGCTCATGACTTGGGACAGGCACATACAGACTGTGGCGGGGTTAAACATGTTTGCGGATGTCCAACCCACCCTTAACCGGGAACAATGGTGTTACAGCACAAAATAAGAACAAACTTTCAAAATCAGTTGTAAAGGGTTTATTGCACAAGGTCATGTTTTTTCTCTAACTGTTAATCTTTATAATAAATCCTTTAGATGTTGGATGTTTACTGATTGATATTTAAGTCTTAGATACATGATTTTTTTATATTGGCTTTCAGTACCTGGGAGTACTCTTAACTTTGTGTTTTTGTTAGTTGTTTTTGAGCTTTGTATCGATCTGATGAGTTAAGCCATTATCAACGGATTTTTATAGTTTGTTCTTATGTTGTACTGTTACACCACTGTCCTAGGTTAGGGGGGGGGTTCACTTATTGTTTTGTACATAAATTTCGTTTTTCTCGTTTGTGAATCTTTGTCATGACCTTTTATACCTTGCGATGCCTCATTGATCTGGTCTCTGTTCGAGAGTTGTAAATCCACAAAAGCGCTTTGTACGCATGAAATTAATAACGTGTTGTTTTCATTATTTGTCTCATTGGCAATCATACCATATTATATTTTCATATTTTCATATTAACTCATCAGATCGAAACAAAGCACAAAAGAAAAAAAAATAACTAAAAGACCAAAGGACACACAGTATCGATCTGAGAGTACTCGCAGTTACTGACAGCTAGTTCAAAGCCAAAAACAACTAATAAAAAAATAATGTATCCAAGAATCGTGCTCACTTTAATGTATAATATTCAAATATAAAGATACAGACATGTGCAGTTCCGGTTTTGTCTTATCGTCACGTGGAACAGGTTTGGTCTTCTTTTTAATCTCTTTCTCTCAAATGCAAGTCATTGATTAAAATGTCGGTTAATTGTAGATCAAGGGTAGATTTATCAATATCTTATACCCGTTTTCTGACAGTTAGTAAATGGGTCATATTTTGTATTTCAATTGATATACTTTGTCACGTCTTGGTAATCTGATAACAATTAAGGTTTAAAATACTGAAGTAAAGATAAGTTAGTAAGTAAATTGTTTCCCACGAAATCCGTAATTATTATGAATTCACTACATTTTTTTACCTTGTTAACTTTAAATTGTCCTGTTTCGGCTGAACATATTCAGTTTTGATTATGTCCTTTAATTGTCAACCTGACAGTAATTGTATATATTAAAGTTGAAACTATAATATGTGTACTTTAGCAGTATACAAAAAGTCGTAAAATTAAATGAACCAGTCACATTTCAAGTCGGGGAAATTCACCTTCACAGATGGCAGAAGTGCAAAAGACCTTCATACATGCAGCTTTATCGTATTGTTTTCAAGTAGATGGTTGGCATGGTTAGGAGAAGTTATTGATAAAAGGTATAAATTAAGATTATCCGTCAATCAGTGATGAGCCCCTTCTTCTTCCCCATTACCGACAACATGGGGGGGGGGGGGGGGGGGGGGGGGGGTAAATGTGTTATACGGTCAAATCTTATTACTATTGTCATGATAAACTGTTGCATGTAAACAGTTATACAGTTATATTTACAAACTATCTACTGTAGTGACACTAATGTACGTTAATTGGTTTGATTGAGGGATCATGTCATCTTTATGCTGTACTGAAGAAAAAAGTGCTTGTTGAGTTGAATGGATTTGTTTATCAATATTATTATATGGTTTGCAATATCAATGATAATCTCTATCCTATCATAAAATCAATTGTTTTATTGTCTGCATCATAACAATGAAATATGAGTCTATCCGCCAGTTTTCCGTTTGTTGATTACAAATTAAGTAATGTTTAATGCAGCAAAAAAAAATAATTGTTTTAACATGTACATTGTTTAAAGGAGCACTTCAAAAAATTCTGCAAAAATCAGCCTACACGTATTTTCAATTTTACGCTCGACAATATAAGCTTCTTTTTTTATCTATTTAAAACTTTACATTAGAAATGTTAAAATCAATTACAGTTATCAGTACAGATTTTATTTTATATCATTGAAAAGGACATTTCTGCTTTCAGTGTGGGAAAAAGACTATATATACATAAGATCTTGAACATATGGTTTTGTTGATTTCATTCAAAGCGATACATATTACAGGTAACATTCATGCATTTAACATGCATGTGGTTTGCAATCAAGTAATCATTTACACGAATGTATACAAATTAATCAACAGTAAAATCATATTACCTTCGTATCATGTTCCAAGAGAATCTCAGAGAAAGCTAATCCTAGTCCCTGAGCACCTCCAGTAATAAGAACAATTTTATCCGTAAGCATCTTTCTTCCCTGAGTTGTTGTAAATAAAGCGGCAATTCTTTATATAGATGTAAACATTCAGTATCAGCCAGGAATCATATTTCTGTCAGTTGTTAAATGGGGTAGATTGGAAAACCCCCGATTTACAACCTGTCGACATGTGGCATTAACAGTTGTACTCGTAAATAACGATGATTGTCCGAATTAGATCACTAGAACAACTAAACAATCATAATTTGAATGTAATTATAGAATTATTTATAAATCCTGTTGTAGCAGATTGCTTTACATTCCCACGGTGAATATTTACTTATATTGATTCTGTGAGAACTAGATTAACGAGAGTCTCATTAGTTATAAACTAGCATCAACAATTACTATCCATTTGCTTCATTGCAAATATAAATGAAATTCTAATAATATCGCAATTATACTGAGCGTCGAGAAGAGCAACATGAATTTTATAGTTCTTTGTTTTTTTATAAAAGGATGTTATCAAATCAGTTCTTTTGCGGGTAAATCAGAATGTGCAATGCCAATGACGTCGCCTGATTGATATTATAACAATGGACATTCTCTTTCGGTTTTAATTTTTGTTCCGCCTCACTAATCTTTGCGGTATTATGACTTGCTTATTATTTACAACACAAAAATGTTTAAAATATGTATGTTCCGTCTTTTGTTACATTTCGAAAACGGAAATATTCCACAGCCTTTCCGAGTTGAACTTTCGATGAAAATCACTATTTCGATTCCTTCTAAACTGGAATCGGATCCGCTTGTATTACGCTCAAACATAGTGTAGTAGTCAGCCGAGAACCAGCTGAGATTCTGTCGATCAATCGATAAAGGACAAATACTAGCTTTCTAAAAAGCTTGTATGTCTTTAATATCTATTAAATGTGAGAAGTGCGTTACTGAACGGCAGGACATAAGTTCAGGACTTCGGTTACATAGGTGATTAAAAGTTGTATTCAAGTTGGGGGTAACGAAAATTCAGTATGGAATATGGAAACATGGTAACTATAATATACACAACACATTTCTTTTTTACCTTCTAGTTTTTAAAGATAAACCCAGATTGCACTCTTTAATGATCAAACACCAATCTCTGAAGTCAATACAGAAACAGGTACAGGGGAAAGTGTTCAAACTTATCTTACACAAACAAAACGACAAAAAGTAAATAAATTATGTATGTCTGATGAAAAATGAGCACCACATAGTAAAACCAGAACACCGGCATATGTAATGGTTCATAATCGTAATCAAAATGAGAAAAGGGTTAAATCGTTGGTGATTTCGAAATTGACTTCTTTCGAAGGATTATTAAATACATCACCCCGAAAAAAATAAAACCTCGAAAGTTGTATCAGCTGTTTTTATTTTCCTTGTTTTGTAACCCCACTGCAATGTATATGCAGCAGTAACTATTCTGAATGAAAAAATTGCAATGCCTAAATGTCCAAAATTTTCCATCAGATTTGAAACGGTAATCTTTTCAGAAAAGCTGTTACTTTTTTTAGTACAAGCTTTTTAAAAAATCTTTTAATTGTGCAATTAACCACGATGCAATGTATAATCTGGGACTATTATACTAGTTATTAGTATAATAGTCCCAGGTATAGTCCACTTTTAAGACTCTATGGACGCCAAACTGTCATTGAAACGGATGTCCACATATCTAATCCAATGTTTAACGTCTTTCTGTACACTCCTGTAAAAGATCCATGATTCCTCAAACGTTGTCATACGGTACGTTTAGACACTTGCACATTCCTTTATTCATAAAGCTTTGCAGTTATGTCAGCAAGCGGGGTTCTCTTATATAGTTTACCACCATTTCCCGCTTGCGGAAGTCCCTCTCCAACATGGTTCGAGGCCTCCTTGACCTCGGACGATTCTCTATTAACCCAGTATTTTCAAAACTTCTGATAATGCTAGATATTTTAGGCCTAGGCTGTTGCAATATTCTTGGAATGTCAGATATTTTTCTCCATTCCTATGAAAATTTACGGTAACTCTTTTAAGGTCCCGGCCAATTCTTTCCCTTTCCTGTCAATGAATGGCTTTTACACACGAAAACAATAACAAACGTGCTGACGACAATATGGCGTCTACTGTTGAGTGACTAAACACTCTTTTCTATAATTAAATATCCGGACTAACACTTGCTTTTAAAAGATCAATAAAATTTCTGACTTGAGTGAAAATCTTGATCTACTGTGTTCTGCTATTTTAAAATCCAAGATGGCAAAAGACACCCATACTACATGTACCTTACGACTCAAACTCGTGTACTTCTGAAATCCAGGACACAGAGTCATATTCATTAATCCAATCTGATAGTTAGATTACTTTACACCTTTTTAGTAGCTGCAGTAAAAAACAACATAAAATCGATGTCTGAAAACTAATTTGATTCTGTGGCTAGTTTATCATATAGGTATCAGGTTTTGTAAGACAAATCGAATTTAGTAGTGTCAGAAGTTGTTATGTAACTTTTCAACAATGCTGGTACCAACTCTTGTATGTATTTCAGACTTGTTTACTTCTGATACTCTTCAATAATTCTAAATAGTTGTTTATCAAAAAGAAAAGAGCTCAGTAGACTGTTTAAAATAAGAATTTATTATGTAAATAATATTTTTTAGTGCTTAATACTGTTTGTGAACATTCTAAATTTTTTTTTGTAATCTTATGTATGTAAACTAGGACGTCTGTTGACAATTTTCAGATTCCAGTCTGTTGTCTTTTGGTTCTGATTACATACCGATTACTAATATTTATTTTTTTAAATGTATGTGATCTTGTTATCTGTTTTATCATATTCAGGTCAAAAGTAAGTGGTGGACTCTTAGTTTCAAAGGCATTTTAATACAAATACCAATGAGATAGATATCAGATATGGAACTTTATTTATTGACCAATTAATGTCAACTGAGGGCATACAAACAGTCAAAACAAATATGATTCAGCAGAAATTATAGGCTGAATATGTCAATACAGCAATACTGACACCATAAATTACGTGAAAATATATCGTACAACAGTACAATCGGCAAACTTCGGCAGATTCCGCTACCCAAGATTGTTAGATATACCGAGGTGTCCCGAATATACAACAGTCCAACCGTGCAAGGGCTGTATAGCCAGTCAAGGTCGTTAAAAACTTCCATTTGTTTATACAACAGTGCAATAAACCACACCAACCATCAACACCAACTCCTCCGAAACTCAGACATATAAACAAAGACAAACAGTAACGAACAACTTCAGTTTGCCTGACTTGTTACAGGCACACAATGTGGTTGGATTAGAATAGTTTAACTGTTTTATGCAATGGTTGCACCCCGCACCCCTTTTTACTAGCTAGACTATATGTCGTAAATTTTTAAACTAACACTCGAGATAAAAAACACAGTACAGATACCAACAGGTGAAATACTAATTTGATACAGGGAATAAAATAAAAAAGATATAATTTAAGGTGGTACCCAACACCTTGACTAATATTAAATTGGCTCGTTTAATTTTCATAAAATTTTGACAAAATGTTTACTTTGACCCTTTGACAAAAATATAAAAATTTCAAAAAATTTGAACCAACCACTTTATCAGAAAAATTTCATTGGTTATATAGCAGTTTGACAGACACTAATTTTGATCATTGAGAAGCTTAATATTTCCTTTAACAATACAAAGTAATTAAAACGTTTAGCTGATTTTTACAGAGTTATCTCCCTGTAGTGTTAGGTACCACCTTAAAAACAGGTTGAAAGTGCTCGCTACTACAGGACGCACTGTCGCCACTTGATAAATATAGTCAAGAAGAAGTAAATAAATAATGAACAGGATGCATCAAGTCCCAAAAATGTATTTTTAGGTTGGAATCCTATCTCTAAAATATTTAACCATGTGTTACAACTACAAGCCAAATAATCCACCTTCTTTCATTTCAAATAACTTAATTTACAGTACGTGCGACTGAAAAATAGTTTCAGTTATAAAATTGTCAACATCGACGTTATTGACAACCTGACGACGAAATTCTCGAAAAATAACTTATGTAACACGAAAAAGTTATATTTTGACTGGGTTTATAATCACGTCATGGTAAAGAACAAAAGAAGAATTAAAACATTGTATGAGGAGAATTATATCCTGTTACGAGCGCCTTAAATTTCCCATTGCGTATTTGTAAGAACAATTAAGAATATATAATTACATCCCAAATATTTGACGATTGTTTGATAATAAAGCTTTATTTCAGATCAATTTATAAGCGATACAACCAGACGTCTCATACAAATTTCTTAAGATCTCTTAACAATATTCAACTGTTGACGATTTTGTTTGATAATAAAGCATTATTTCAGATTAATTTTGTATGGCATACACAATAGTAGAGATATTTTATAATTCGATTGGTATTGAAAACAATGTTTTATTACCTTTTTATCCCTTTATGGACATCATTTATAGCTACTGAGACTTTTCAACTTGATTAAATATATAAGCGATACAACCAAACGTCTCATACAAATTTCTTAACAATATTCAACTGTTGCCGATTTTGCTGTCCTGAGTATAACAAGATAAGCCAAATACCGAGGTTGATAGATTAATGGTGGATATGTTAGGTTAATACATGTTTTATTGCTCTTCTGATACTTATCATGTGTTTATCTTAGTTCTCCCTAATGTCATTAATATTATCATGAATTATATACAAAACAAACTCAAATATTTGCTAAATTGACATTTATTTTTTTTTTTTTTACAAATTTTGATGCAAGTATTCTGGACAGAAACTCATGCAGAAATAGTCAACAGAAAAAATGATAATAGTAATGTGATGTTTAATGAACGTTCTAGTGTGCCTGGTGTGTCATTAAAGAAAAATGTAAAATAAAATGGGACACTGATTCAGTTACTGTATCTTTTTATCAATTTCGAACACGAAACAGTGTGTAAACTATTAAAGAGTTATTGTATGAAAAGACATACAATGTTCATGATTATAACAATCAAATTACCTGTTTTTTTTACTTGAAACACTATATTCAGTATCACGTAATCTTTTCATTTATCTTTTAGATCTACTGAAGTGGTATCCGCCTTGATGATATCAATATGGTTGTATATTGCTCAGTTTCATTTATTATTCATCGAAATTTGAATGCAGTTATTGTTACTTCTGAACTTAATGTTAGTTAGATATTAACTTGTTATGACAGGCAGTAGTGCATTGCTTGACAAGTTGTCCTATGGGGTGACTGGATTAATTTAATGTTAAACATTGTACAATGAATATTTCTAAATAATAAATACCTGCTTTAAGTATATGCGGACGGAAAACATGTCAACATATTCTTTTTAATGAATGAATGCTGTATAGGATGTGGTGGAAGCAAATATACCACATCTTCTTATTTTTGTTTTGAGTAAGTTCACATCAATTTTTTAATGTTAAAACTGCTTTAACATGATAAACAAATAATCTTAATGTTAACGCAATTTACATGTTCAGCTACATTCCTAAATTTTGATCTCTTTAAAAAATATTGTTTCAGATCCATCTTGTCGCTGTGTCATTTCTTCTTTTAATATTCTTTATATATAAATGTACGTCATATTCTTATGAATAGTCTAAATTGGTTAAAAATGACCTTGTGTTGGATCTAGAGATTGAGACATCTGGTAGTATAAATCTGACATATGAGTAAAATGAAGAAATTTAAGAAATGTTTTTTGAATATATTAAAAAGACCAAAAGGTTCCTTGTTTAATCATGCGTATAATCTGAATGTAGTGATCCACAAACACACATGCATATTGTTGAACTTCTTCTCTTTGTATTGTAAAAGTTCATCTTAGATGATGTGTTAGCACGAGAGAAACCTCTGTCAATGTATTTTCATATGTCGCCCCATTTTTTTTAATTTACCGCGATGTTCTCAGGCGTAATCGCTTTGTCACAGAATTATTGGTGGCGCAAATCTGCTTTATTCTGATGGCCTAGCTGTAGGGAATGCTCTTGGTGCAGTGTTTTGGATGACAACTAAGTGGAGAAATATATTTTTGTTTGTCTGTGGACTTGCAATGCAGATCTATAAATATGATTCAATCCTTCACTTGAGTAGCAGTGCTAAGGGATGTGATCTTAGAAGCAGAGATTTCATAAGTGACTTATTTAATTGAGGGATTGGTCATGTGAATGAATAGATTAAGGTCTTGTTCAGAATTCTCCCACTTCATGTCAATATCGTCAATGAATCGGAACCAAGTGAGATATTGATAAAGAGAAGCATTGGGGATTTGCTCTTCTAATTCGTCCATAAAATATTGGCATAAGAAGGAGCCATCTTTGTTCCTATTGCTGTTCCATTAAATATGAAGTCATAGCATTTGAATACCAAAGTTAGAAGCTGCATGGACTAAACATTCAGTTGGTCGATGTAAGGTGTTGTGAGAGTTCCAGACTTCCTTCAAGTTACTGGCTTAAATACCATTTTCATTTCGGAAATTAGTATAGAGATGCGAGACAAGCAATGTTTCAGGTGGGAGAATGCATGGTTCAAGAAAAACATTTTCTTAAGATAATGTGCTGTATCTTGTATTGTAGGGTAGTATATTTTCGTCGTGTGGTCTTAAACGAAAGTCAATAGATTCTGAAATTGAAAAAAAATCTTCTGTTGAAAATTAGTGAAAAAATTTTAAAAGTAAGTAAAAGCTATATCGTAAGTGAAATTAGTGTCCATGGTGTACCCTTATAAAATCATTTTCCGAAAGATTTCCTAAACTTTGATTTTTGAAAAGATATTGATTGTAGAAACATGCACCAGGAACAACATATAAAATAGGGGAATGGACTCGGCACTTATTTTGCAACTAAATCTAAAAATACACCTGTACGTCATTGATGTTACTGTCAATGGTGAGACCACTTTAATAAAATAACACCATTGACCAGTTTAGTAACACCACTGAATATATTATGACAATCAGCATTGTTTGTGTTTTTTTTTCATGTTTAACAACCGAAACATCATATTATTTATGAAATATAATACTTATTGAACAATGTTTTTTAACAATATAATGTATTATATACCAAGTTTTCACAAACTGGTGTATGCTGTTAAAACCAATGACACTATTTAGTAACACTATTGACATTGGGCCATTCCAGTTAATTTCTGACAGGTGGGGACGGATGGGGAGAAATTTTTTTATACGTATCAGAAAAAGCATCATGAAAAACTACCTATCAGATCTAAAAATTAAGACCTATCAGATGTAGAGTTTCTGTTCATATTGGGTGGATGGACTTTCATGGGAAAAATTGACCTATCAGAATTTTTTACTGCAAGGGGTGTACCCATCAGAATTTTGCTGACACTTTAACCTGTCAGAAGTTACCTTCCATTCCTTGTAAACTTTCATTTAGTACATAATATATGACTAGTGAGTGTATCTTCGTTATTAGGCAAAAATGTATTAACTTCTTTTTTGGACTTGGGTTAACTTTGCATACGGTTTAAACATCTGCCTATTATGGAAGATAGTATGTTGACTGTCATACAAGTGAGAGGTTTAGCTACCTATACAACCAGGTTTAATCCACAATTTTCTACATAAGAAAATGCCAGTACCAAGTCAGGAATATGACAATTGTTATCCATTCGTTTAATGTGTTTGAGCTTTTGATTTTGCCATTGGATTAGGGACTTTCCGTTTTGAATTTTCCTCGGTATTCTGTATTTTTGTTATTTAACTTTTGACTTCTAGATATTTTTTGGGTTGCTGTCATATTAACGTTTATCCCACACCACCTTTTATTCATATTTGTATCAATTGAAACTATTTACAGACATAAGGCAAAACAAAATACTGTGCCTGGTTCATTACATTATAATTCTATAGTTTTCACTGGATTGTCAATAGGAAATTGTTTTAGGGTCGCAGGGATGTTAACAAAGGATATATTAAATAAATTAACTGAATACTGCATTTGTATTTGCCTTCTTTTGCATGGATAAAGGGAGGAAGACAAACACAATAATTATCTATTAATTGAAAAGAGATCTTTGAGTACTGAAATTATATAAGTTTTTCCATGTGCATGCATGTGTGGGGAATGGAAAAGGAGTGGACAATCTGTAATCATTTAATATTAATAACACTTATCAATGGACATAAATCAGAAATAGAATGAAAATTAAGAGGATGTATTAAACTTCTCCTATCCGATATCTAAATTCAAATAACATTCTTTAAGCTGACTTAAAAAATACTTGAATTCTTATGTTGTACTGTTACACCACTGTCCCAGGTTAGGGGAGGGTTGGGATCCCGCTAACATGTTTAACCCCGCCACATTCTTTATGTATGTGCCTGTCCCAAGTCAGGAGCCTGTAATTCAGTGGTTGTCGTTTGTTGATGTGTTAAATATTTGTTTTTCGTTCATTTTTTGTACCGTTGATAAATAAGGCCGTTAGTTTTCTCGTTTGAATTGTTTTACATTTGTCATTTCGGGGCCTTTTATAGCTGACTATGCGGTATGGGCTTTGCTCATTGTTGAAGGCCGTACGGTGACCTATAGTTGTTAATTTCTGTGTCATTTGGTCTTTTGTGGAGAGTTGTCTCTTTGGCAATCATACCACATCTTCTTTTTTATATTGAATACTGCAGATTTGCAAATAACAACCTGTGTAAATATCTGCAGTATCAGACATTCTCATTTAGAATCCCCCTTTTTGTACACTTACAGCTGACTGAAAAAGATTTCCAATAATGTCTTTTTGAATGAATCATAAAACCCCATGTATATAGTGCTAGCTTTGATTTTCAGGGGAAAGATTTATTCCTAACACTCTGATCCACGGGAAATCAAATGAACATGTAATATCCACTGAAGTTTAAAACTTTGTTAAATAACAGCTTTTGATAGTCGATATTTCCTCTTTTCGTTAATGTAAAACACCTATACAGCCACACATGTTTACACTTGTTTTAATGTGTCTTCACAGCAGGAGTTGTCCTATGATCATGCTATCCCAGATGACTCATCGGATAAGAAAATGACCATGCAGCTTTGTTTTGTGGATTACTTTTATACATAAATATTTCATTACATAAAATAGATTGGCAAGAACCAGTGGCAAACTGTCTTCTGACTTTTGAATTGACAAACACAGAATATACAAGTTTTTTTTCCAATTGATTTAATACTACAATGCAGAAATTAAAAATAGGACTATTTTAATTTTAAACAATATTACTAAAAGTAGTTAGAAATGATAAAAAAAGGAATATGACTAATCTTACAAATTGACTATTTTTTTTTTTATTGAACTGGAATAAAAAAATTAAGAACATATTGAGTCATATTTTGCTTACCTCAGGCCGCAGGCACTTGTTGCGAAATTATTTGTTTACCTGTAAAGGTTTATTGATATTTTTTTTTTTTAGAAACTAGTGACTGTGTCTCGAGCATATTTTGGAAATTCATTCTTTTAACAAAGGAAGCAACATCAGATACATTTTGAGTATTAGCAATGAAAAATGATATACAATCCGAGGTCTTTCACAAAAAGACAATTAAAAACATAGAAATTTTTCATATATGACAAGACATAACAATCCTATATTCCTGAGATACCTTGTGAAGTATGTGAATGTTATCCATCATTCTTTCATAATTTTACCACCAAGTTGGCATAGCTTATTTTGCAGTTATCATTTAAGTATAGTCTGTGATTATAAGATTTCACAACCTAAATAATTTTTTTTAATCTTCATGGTATTTTTTTTAAACATGGACAAGAGTTCCTTCGGTGATAAGAGGTTAACCATGAAAAAAAGTTTTGTACATTTTTTTGGCAGTCGGCATTACACTTTCATACTGGCAACAACATTTTCGGGAAAGAAACATGGTTTTCTGGGGAACCCTTTATTCTATAACAAATCAAATTTAATATGATTTATTGGCAGTTCAAGATTCTTTAATACACACCATAAAGTTTAAGAAATTCCTTACTTCAAGAAAAGTTTCATATTTTTGTGTCGCTTTCAGTTATTAATTTCTGTAACTAAATTTTTGAAATAAGTATTTCTCCTAAAAAACAGGTATCTAAAACTTATTTATATTCTAAAAATACATCGGGGTATTCCTAGCACAAATAATTTTCACTCTATGCAGATCTCCAAAAGTGTGTTCTTATACAAATTAAAATGTGAATGATACATGTGTCTTCTTTAGTTGATTTTTATCTGTGGTCTATGGTCTGGTTACCATGGTTACAGATAAAAAATTTCATTCCAAGTCATCAGACTATCCTTAATATCTCTAACCACAACAGCAAGGATGCTAACAAGTGGTTGTCATTAGCCCTGTCTATAACTTCACTTTAATTGTGTATTAATTTGATACGGTCACTTG